TGGTCCGTACCAACTGTCCCCCTACTCTCCTAATCTGATAACAAAAATGATCAAATACAATAAACAGAATTAATGTGCAACTCTAAACTTAAGTACATTAAAATTATCTTTTTAGTTTATGCCTTTAATTTTTTGCCTTGAAAATTATTTGCCTACTTTTTGAGGTATCCAGTAACCTTTTCATAGACCTACTCTTCTTAAACTTTTCAGAGTAAATTTATAATTACTTATTTTTATTGAGATCCATGTCCCCTTCCTTAGTTTTTTGTTGTTGTTGATTTTTCTTGGTGTGTGTGTGTGTGTGTGTGTGTGTGTATGCAAGAGAGAGATACTTCCCAGGTTCTCCTTCTATATAGATCCTTTTCCCCCTATTTTTCATTCTGTGTTGTAAAACTCTTCTCTTATTTTCTTGAACTCATTTTTGTATTCAGTCATTGAGCTGATTTTTTCAATGATTCTATAGAAATTACTCCCACATCATACCCAGTCTTAGTGCATGTAGAACCTATTCACTTATATCACTCATACCTTATTTTCATCTCAGATTCAACATAAAATAAATTGAATTACTCTTTTCCTTTTTTTCTTTCTTCCTTTCTCTTGATCAGAGTAGTCTTTTTTTTTTTCATGTTAAACTGCTTTTTCATTACTTTAGATGTGAAACTTCCTGGTTGTCTTTTATTCGTTCACCTATTTTATCTGCATAATATGTTGTATATTTCTTTCCTTGGAATGTCCCTCTTTGATGTTCCTTCTCTGGACACAGCTCTGGATCAGGGCTCTCTCTTATTCCTTAGTTTCTGTGGGGCTACTTTCAGCTGACCTTTCCCAGTTTATCCTTAAGTTTATCCCAAGATTATCCTTCTACAACTATCACTGCATTTACGTACCTGTTCTGAACAATGGGGTACATACAGTTGCTCTCCATTTTTTGCCAGTCATTACCCAAGGTCATGTTGGCACTGAAGGCCAATGTTATTAGGTGCATATTCACTTCTCTCATTAATCAGGATGATTACATTATTGTTTTAACTAGTTCTTTTCTCCAACTTTCTTGCACATCTGATTCAAAATAATAATTAACTAAAACTACAATGTGTTAAGGCCATATGATAGGTCGATTACTATGCTAACCCTTTCATATACATATTTGCTAATCTTTAGGACCAGCATACATGGTAGCTACAGTAGACCTTCTCTATATAAACTAAGGGTTAATTCTTTAAGGAAATCATAGTTGAAGATACAAAGGTTTATAGAAAATGAGAGGAAAACTGTAAATGAAAGCATCTAAATAACAAATAGTTACTGAAGTTAAACAATCAAATGCATTATTAAGAAAGAGACTATCAATTACACATTTAAAAATTTTACTATAATACATACAGTACCATTAATTTACATTTAATATTTTACTTGTTATATACTCTGAAATGGAATATCCCTTTCTAACCCCCAACCAGTATCAGGAACATGCTTGTAAATTTGTTTTCCCTTGGTGGTGGTGGTATGCATTTTAAATTATATTTTTTCTCCCCAGTCCATCTTCTTTTTTCTAAGCTTTCATTGTTTTTCTAGTCTTGTAGATCTAGAGTTTGCCACCAATGGCTGGGACCTTGTCCCTTAAGTCATCAGTCTCCCTGGTCATGCTTAATTTTCACCAGACTTGTAGGGTGAGTGGGTGGTCTAGATTTACTTTGCCTCAGATTTCTTTCTGTCAATGAAATCACTTAACTATCTCTTCACCTCTGTACTTGCAAATGTAATTTTTTAAAAATTGTTTGTCATCATGTTATGTCTATTGAGTATGTGTCCCTTCACTGTTAGATCATTAGTAGTAGGGACCACAGTTATGTTTCTGGTGTCCTCTACAGCACCATGTTGGTACACCTGTGATAAGCATTTAAGCCCATTTATAGATGGATTGATTCCTGTTCTAGGATTCAATCATTTTCTTTTTTTGGCAAATTTCCTATGACTAGTTTTTAATGTTCTGTTGCTTTTCCTAAAGGTAATTTCCAGTAATCTCGTAGTCTTTGAGGGTCACATGGACATTTGTTTGTTTTGTTTTGTTTTGATAACAATATATATGACGGCTGTTGATTTTTTTTGGCTTATGTGGAAAAACCCCATGACTTCATTGTGAATCTATTCTCAGTTTTTTCTTTGCTCTGGTTTCTCTTGACCCATGCTCAGAGTCAATAGCCCTCTCCTCTTAACATTTACCTTTTTTTGTTCAGACCTTTCTTAACACACTTACTGTAATGTTTAGTGTATTTTAGACACTCCCATGTTTCCAATCCCTGCAACAAATACACACACACACACACACACACACACCTCTATATGTACATAAATATGTGTGTATGTATGTGTATGTGTATGATACTCTCAAACAGGAACCAGACGTCATTCCAGTTTGTATCCCAAGAAGTCTCACCATTCTTAGAATAAGTCAGGATTGACTCTTGCTAAATTAAGGACTGAATGAATCAATCAAATCAATGAAGTAAGCTTATTATTTTCTTATAGCTTCCAGCACTTTTGCTGTCTTTTTTCTGATTAGGATACTTAGAAATATCCCCTTAATTGTATTTACCTCATCACATTTATCTAAATTACTCTGTATGAAGATGTGTATTTTCAAAAATTTGCTTGACTTTATTCTTTCTTTATTCTTGCCCATTAAGGCAGTCATCTCCCTAATATTCTTTCACCTCTGGGCATTCTGTCTGCTGGCAGTATAAAAACCTGTATTTTTTTTCTTTTAGGTCCTCCAAGTAAATGCTAGCCCTATACATTTTGGCTTTTTAAAAAATAAAAAAAACCTCTGTTTTAAAAGTTTTCTGTCCTCTATTTAGTACTCCTTTTATTTATCCTTAAGTTTTTCCTTTCTTAAAATGCCTGCCTTCTCAGATGCTCTTACCTGATTAAAGGCATGAAAGTATGACAATGACTGTCTTTCCTTCTGAGAGTTCGAGCTTTTCAGCTATATTTTTTTTCCTGAAAGGCCAACTGTGTTCATCTTTCAAATTGCACACTCCAACATTAATCTGGCTTTTCAAAATCAAAAGTTTAAACATTTTAATTAAATGTTTGAAAGATAAAGAATTTCTTCTTGCCTTTATCTTCCACAGATATCAGTAAGTCAAGCATTTGAATTCCCATGAAAGTTGCTTGGAGAGTTGGTCATGGAAAACCACTGATGAGATATTACTGTCAAAGTGTATATTGAGCACATACTACTTGAGAGAGAGCATCCTATTTTATTTAGGAAGAAATACAAGTATAATTTTGGCCATTAAAGTAGTTTAGAATCAACTTTCAACCAGAAGTCCCTATCCTCAACCTAGACAAAATGAATCTTAAAAAACAACACAAGGAAATATAGAATTATATAGTAAAGGTATAAAGTTTAAAAACAGTATTGGTTATGTAACAGTTAATCAGGAAAAAATGTTTTCTAGATAGTTTCTGAGAAATATTTTTAAATGACAACTGGCCAACAAAGATTTTATCAGAGAAAAAGGAATGTCATAAACAGAATGACAAAAAGGGAACCAAACAGGTAGGCATTTGCCTCTTTTGATTCTAATCAACAACAGTGTATCAAAAATGTTATCCTAAAAATGGACATTTAACTTGTCCCATCCAGAGAATAAAACTGCACATACAAGGAATTCTTTCTATTCCTTTTTTTCCCAAAATGATTTAATAAGACTAACAATACATATTTATTGCTCTGGGCTTGGATACAGACCCAAGAAATTTGCAATCTGTCTGCTTAGTGAGACCTTACACATCAAGAAATAAAAAACAATATCTGGTAACATGTAATATTAGGTGGAGGTGTAAACTATGTGATATAGGAGAGGTTCAAAGGATGAAGAAGATCACTGGGCTTCGAAAGGCAGATAACTTCTCAAGGAGAAGTTAACATAACTGCTGGGTGTTTAAGAGAAGACTTTGGAGAGGGTAGAGAAGGGATTTATGGGCAAATGGTTTGTAAAAGATACAAAAGCAGGGATGTGAACAGTTCTTTCAGGGTATGGCTTGTCTCAGAGCTTTTATGTGAGGATGTGAGGATGTTGTTGGGTAAAAATGAAAAATGAGATGACATTGTGGTGGATGGTAATAAAATATTTGGTTAGGTAAATAAATGGAGACATGCCATGTAATAGAACAGATGGTTCAATACTGTTAGCATGCCAAATGTCCCAATATTGATCTGTCAAAATCCGAGCATGGTGTGTGTGTGTGTGTGTGTGTGTGTGTGTGTGTGTGTGTGTGTGTGTAGAAATTGACTAGATAGTTCCAAAAATGCATTTGGGAATGCAAAGAACCTAGAATAACAATTCTGAAAAAGAATAAAGTTAAAAGACTGACCTTATCTATCAAGACTTACTATTAAGCATAAGTAACCAAGACTATGTGTTCTTGGTATAAAATAGAAATGTAAATGAATGGAGTAGAACAGAAAATAAATAGATTGAAACATATATGTCAGTTGACTTACTGTGAAAGTGCCATGATAATTCAATGGTAAAATGTGTTTTTTCAACAAATAGGGCCAAAAGAATCAAATATCCATATGGAAAAACAAAAAATTGAACCACAGACTTTACCTAAACATACATGAAATTAACTCAGAATTAATTGTAGATCTATATAAGAGTTTGTAAGAATACACAGGAGAAAATCTTTGTATCCTTACATAATAGATTTCTGAGACAGGACATGTGGATCATCAACTTTCCTACACTGTTGATGAGAATGTGCATCCACTATTGAAAACAGTATGGAGGTGCCTCAGAAAGCTAAATATAGAAATAGCATACAAACCAGTAATTCCACTTTTGGAAACTTGTCTGAAGAAGAAAAATCGCTAATTCAGAGTATATATGCACTCCTATGTTTATTGCCACTTCCTACAATAGCCAAGATATGGAAGCAACCTAAATATCCCTCAACAGATGAATGGATAAAGAAGATGTGATACAGTGCTTGTTTTAGCAGTACATATACTAAAATTGGAATGATACAGAGAAGATTTGCATGGCCCCTGTGCAATGATGACATGCAAGTTCATGAAGTGTTCCATATTTTTAGGAACAAAACAGCAGCAGACTCACAGACTCAAGAAGAGACTAGCAGTTACCAAAGGGAAAGGGTTGGAGAGGGTGGGTGAGGAGGGAAGGAGAAGGGGATTAAGGGGCACTATAATTAGCAATCACAATGTAAGTAGGGCACGGAGAAGGCAGCATGGAGAAGACAAGTAATGACTCTATAGGATCTTACTACGCTGATGAACAGTGACTGCAACGGGGAGGGGGCGAGGACTTGATAATATGGGTGAATGTTGAAACCAGTGTTATTCATGTGAAACCTTCATAAGATTATATATCAATGATATTTTAATAAAAAGAAGATGTGGTACATTTATACAATGGAATATTACGCAGCCATAAAAAAGAGTAAAATCATGCCATTTGCAACAACATGGGTGGACCTAGAGGGTATTACGGTAAGTGAAAAACATCATATAGAGAGAGGCGAATACCATATGGTTTCACTTATATGTGGAATCCCAAAATCAAATAAAACAGGAATAGACTCATAAACACAGAGAATAGACTGGTGGTTTCCATAGGGGAGAGGGATAGGAAAATGGGAGAAATAGGTGAAGAAAAAAAAAGACGAACTTTTATTTATAAAATAAATTAGTCATAGGAATGAAAGTATAGCATAGGGAATATAGTCAATAATACTGTAATATCTTTGTATATTGACAGATGGTAACTACACTTATGGTGAGCACTTAGTATTGAATTGTCAAATTACTGTGTTGTACACATAAAACAAATATATTGTATATCAACTATATTTCAATAAAAAACTGACTCATTAAAATAAAAGCTCTTACTCTTTGAGAAGCACAGTTAAGAAATTAAAAGCTATTAATTAGACAAAGAGAAAATATTTGCAAAACAGACATATGAGGACTTGTGTCCAGAAAATTAAGAACACTTACAACTAAATAGCAAGAACGACATTTAAAAATATGGACAAAAGATTTGAGCAGTTATTTCAAAGAGGAAAATATATAACTGGCCAATAGCATACAAAAATATGTTCAGCATCATTAGTCATTAGGAATTCAAGTTAAAACCACAGCAAGTTACCACTGTATGACTACTAGGATGGCTACTGATAAGAATGCTGACAATAAAATTTGGCAGAGATTTGGAGAAATGAAACACTCATGGCTGGTGGAAATGTAAATTCTACTGCCACTTAGGAAAACCGTTTGGCAGTTCTTTTAAAATGAAACATATACTTAACCTTTCAAGCCAGCAATTCTACTCTGGTATTTTTTAAGAGATATGAAAACATATGTCCACATAAAGACTCGTATGTGAATGACAACTTTATTTCTAATAGATGACATTGGTAAATAATTCAAAAATCTATCATGTGCTTTATTCCACATCTTCTGAATGAGGATTTTGGAGGAGTCCGCCTCCAGGAATCTAAGTTTCGAAGCTGTTCCATTCTACTACCTGTTGCAGTTCGGTAGATTCAGAACTAGTCACGAGGCTGGCCTAACCAGTAGGGGAAGGGCCACTGCTGGCTCCTGTTGTACTTTTCTGCATATTTGAAAAAATCTCTTGCAGTAGGTACATGCCTTGGCAGCCAGGATGAGGGCTGAATTTCAGCTCCCTTCTGAGTCCCTCAGGTGGGAGCCCTAGTTCAGTTTTATGTGATGTATATACAACATAAAAGAAAATATAAAACAAATTTACTTGAAGCTGTAACTCACAACCTCATCACAAGTAAGATTGATCTGGTAGAGTATTTAAGCTAGGTGAGTCTGGAGTTGGCTAAAAAGGACTTCACTGTTTTTTGTTTCTTGTTTTTTTTTCCTCTAAGGCAAGTCTTTAATGTTAACCACCACAGTGGTACCAATGGCCGTACTACTTAGACCTGGAGGAAAACCAGAAACAGGCTATACTGGAAAAAAACTATGTGAGATGGTTAAGCAACATGGTTGTTAAAATGAACTAGCTAGCATTGTATTTATAACCATGGATAAATCTCATATTAACATTGAGTGAAGCAAACTAAATTGTAGAGACATACACTTTAATGTTTGAAAACTGCAAGTATACATGTATTATGCCTATCCATGCATACACTTTATTTCTATTTTAAAACATTGGTAGAAAGAGCAAGCATCAAAATTAGTATGAAGATTTGTAGAAGCAGTAAGGGAATAGAATCAGAAACAAATAATAAAGGTGCTTCAGCTTCTCTGTAATATATTTATTTAGAAAAAATCTGACTCATTTGTTGCACAGTGCTGAGATTGATAAAGCTGGATGTTGGGTACATGAATATTTATTATCTAATTCCGTCAGTATTTCTCCATGATTGAAATATCTCATTTTGAAAAATAAAAAATGTTATGTATAAAACATGTATATAATTTAAAAGCATTATACACTAATACTGCATACTGTTCCTAATATACATTGTTTACACATATGTATATACATATGTCTGCATTACATATTTAAGGGTGTTACCTATTTCAAGTGTATGGCTCCTGGTGATGTTTTTCCTTATGAGGAGAGGTGGATGAAGGACTATGTATAAGGCCAAAGCTTATTTCAGCTAAATCTGTTAAGTTTTATGTAACTTATTAAAGGCAAAAATTATGTTAATGTTCTACATTAGCAGTTATCAGTTCTTTGTGGTAGGAATATGGATGTTGGATAAACTGAATCTCTCCATTTAGTATTGCTCATATTTATTTTTCCAATCTTTTAAAAACATTAATCACTTGACTAATATTATCTTAAAAATCTGGTAATTTATCAACTCATTTTTTAGGAATGTATTATCAGAAAAATTAATTGTGGGTAATTTCCCCCCCTTCCCAAAGAATACAAGTCAATGACCAGATTGTGGAAGTGGATGGAATCAGCTTGGTGGGTGTCACACAGAATTTTGCTGCAACAGTTCTCAGAAACACCAAGGGCAATGTCAGGTAAATACATGGCTTCAAATATGTACAGTTTGGTTACCTGGTACTTTGTTGAATTTTAGTTTTCTACAATTGTAACTATAAGATATATGAAATTACAATGAGAATTTTACCTAAATATTAAAAGCTTGCCATTAGTTTTTAATTTTTCCTTCTTGTCATTAGTGCATGTAAATGTAATTAAAAAGTGAAAGCTACAGTATTCTAGAAAAGACATGAATATATGAAGCAATTAGTGTGGATCAGTATGGTTAATCACTGAGCCATGTTAGTTTGCCTTATTGCTAAGATAGTAAAAATTTTTAGGCAGATGGAATTTTGAATTATAACTTCAATAAATATGAATTCAGTTCCAAATATTTTTAATAAAACCAGTTATACAGCAAATTGAAATTGAAATGGTTATACATATATCCAGTGATACATGTTATTTAGACAAACAGACTGAATGTTCTTAAGTTAATAAATGCATTTTAAAAATCTTTTGTTCTAAAGAATCAGGGAGGACTAATCTCTGGTAACTATTTTTTCCAACTTAATATAACAGAAGGTATAGTCTTTTGGGCCTTGAAATTTATATGCAATGCTGGGGTTCTGAAAATTGTAGTTTAGAAAACAGATAAGAATGTAGTCCTGATCCAACTTAGGTCAAGGCTTGAAACCCATTTTATTTGGTCATAGGGTACTTGTTTTTTTAATATAGTATTGCTTATTGTTCTTTCCCAACAGTCCTATGAAAGACTCCATAGAGGAATTACTTAGCATGTGTAATTATGAAGTGTTTTAGTTTATCATAAAAATGAATCTGCCAAATATTCTGAAAATATCGATGAGTGAAAATTGCTGTTTTGTGGTTGACGTTAGGGTTTTATTGCAGCATATTGTATGTTGCACAAGCATGAGTTTTTGTTTTAGAATTGGGACTTTTTCAATTGGAAAGCACCCTTTAATGCTGAAGGGAATGTCTAAGGAATACAACATAAATGACTCGAGTGGGTGCTGTGCCAATGCTTCAAGAATACTCTGTCCCAAGAGAAGTATGTGTAAGAACTGAAAAGAGTACAGAAGAGCTGCCTGCTGCTCTTGGAGCCACATGGGTGGGTCCCCTCTGTAAATGTGGTTGTCTTTCTGCAGATTGCTGGTCTGTTCTTAAGAGAGCGTTTTCCAGTGTCAGTATAGAACTTGGCTATGAAGTTGCCTATTAGGCTTTAAAGTGAAATAAGTAAGAGATCCATTCATTTATAAGGGCATTTGTCAGTTGGAAAAAAGTTTGAAGTTATATGAAATCATAGTCATCACTTTCTTTCTCTTCATAATTTTGTGCTGTTATCAATTCAAGCCTTGTACAGATTGCAAATGGCTTTTCATCTTTTTTTTAATTTCAGTCTCTCCCTTCTTCAAACTCTCCTTCTCATCCTAACCCCTAAAGGAACAACATAATAGCAGTTTTCAAATATGTGCAGGGCTATTATGGAAAAAGGAATCAACTCTTTCCATATAACTAGGAGTAGAACAACAAAGACCTGTGGGTAGAAATGATAATTCAGCATCCATTATGTCCCTCTCCTCTTCAGAAAGCTTCAGTGGCTCTCCATTCTAAGCTCTTTATCCTGGTATCACTGACCTTTCATAACCCGATCCTATCACTTACTGTTCCCTGTATTCCTGCTCTGGTCCAGTCATACTAGTGTAGTCGTTATACTTCAAAATGGACTTGTGAATTACCGTTTTTGTGCCTTTCTTTCTGCCATTTTTTTTTCTGTTTGAAATAATCTCTTCTGTTTTGAACCTACTTATCTTGAACATACTTCAGCTCCTTTGCCCTCCAAGAAGTTGTCCTTGACCCCCCTATCTCCTAGTGATCTTTTCTTCCTGGTAACACTCATCATTCATACCACTTTTTTAACCTTAAGGCTACAGAATATTCTGCTTTCATTTTTGAAAGCAAAAATCTTATTTCCTTATTGGCTTTGAAAAAAATGTTGATATCAAAATGGGACCTTAGTCTCCTTTGTCCCCTGAAATTATTTAACCCTGGGTCTTCATTAATTCAATGTAAG